AAACATTTAAACCATAGTCTCAGGGTTGTTATTTGCGAAAATATCCAAATAAAGCGATTTTTTGATGAGTTTTCATAATAACTTAGTTTCCAAAAATTTTCGTTTCTTAAGCTTTTGAATTTATTGAATTTATAGAGACTTCTGTAAGCGGTATATTTAAAGAAAGGAGGAAATTTAGGCGCAAATGTAATTTGTGACAAAATTTCAAGTATTATTTCTTAATTAAAGTGCTTGTAATTTGCAGTGAAATTAGAAAATTAAATACCGGGTTTCTTTGCTCAGCCGAAAACTGTGCTCAAACCCATTTAGTTAATCATTGCAGCCTACATATAGGTGCATATCTTAATTTACTTTTCAGAAATTTACGATTTTACAGCTTCTACTGTATCTATCTATTTGAAACTAAATATGCTGAAATATTGCTTGTAAATTATGACAACTAAATGTATGCTTCAAATTTTTATATTAGCAATAAAAAGTGCACATGCAACTAAAGAAAATATAGTTAAAGAAGTAAAACCCTAAATTATTTTTAAAACTTCTTACAAATATTGTTCTTGCTTATAAAAATATATAATCAGTTTTATAATATACCTTAAGCAGGATTTGAGAATTGTTTGCATGAAGAGTTATAAAACCGATGCTTCTTCGCTAAATGAATTTTGACATTCTTGAAATAATATATTCATAGCTAGTTGCCAGAAACTATAAAAGATGTAAGTCAAACTAGACTTAGCATGACTATAGTATGTATTTTCAGTACAAAATTTTTCAGCCGATTTTCATTTGATTCACCCAACGGCGGCACCCAAATCTATGTCGCACTTCATCTGGCGGCGCACGTTTCTCGCGTGTTCTGACTTGCACGCGCGTCTTGTATCCTGACCACAGATACATGTAGTACACGCCGCCCGTTGAGGCGGTCTAGCGTGAGCCACCAGTGGTACGCGCCGGCATGAACGTGTTAAAAATATTTTTCAATATTCTATTCGACAAAAGAAGTAAATAAATTTTAATATAACTTGCTAGTTGCATAGTCTCCAGCAAAAAAAAATGTTCAAATAAAATATTAGTTAAACATTAAGCGAGTATAATAAAAAAAATTCTAAATCTAAAAGTTCATGATAAAAATTTAATAAAGACGTAAGTAATAAAAAAAAAATCTTAAACCTGACTATAACCTTTTAATGCAATTGTTATTGTCTTTATTTGCACAATATTGCCTTCCGTTTTTATTCGTTTGCTTTTATTTTTTTCTTTGGAAAACTATTGTATATGCGTCTATGTGGCACACATTTATGTTGAGGGGATTGAAATACAATTGTTTATGAAATGTTGAAAAATACATGCATTTTATGTGCATTTTTATAGCATAAATTTAGGAGTTTGTGATTGCTTTGGAAAATGTGTACAAAGTGAAAAATGTTACGACACCCTCTGCAACAAATAAATAAATGCAAAAGTTGAATATATTTTAACATATTCCATAACACATTGAGTGGCTAATACTTCTTTATAACTGTTGCTGCATACTTTTAGGCGTATAAATTTTTTTTTATTATCTATAGTTTCAAATTTCTTTTAAAAGTTTCTTCGATTTTTTCTTTAAAAATTAAATTTTATAGTATTTTATTGACACTTGCATTTGCTAACAATCCTTTAACTCTTTGTTGAATACTTTTAGATGCTTGTATACAATATATTTCTTTTCTTAATTATTAAACTTGCAACAATGCATATTTAATGCAGTTTACGATCGCTTTAATAGTCGGTTATACATTTTAGAAAACTTTAAATTTCTTTTATCCTGTAGCCTATCTCCAGGATCTCCTGAGGTGTCTGGCCGGAAAGGAAAATTTTTCTTCTTAAAATAATATCACATCCAAAAACCAAAATATTTATTAAGGCTAGGCTAGTCAAAATTTTGATTTTTGACAAAATGGCAACTTCTTAAAAAACAAATTTTTTTTAAAAAAATTGAAAATTCGGAGTGGCTTAAAAATCTACTATCAAAAATCGTATTTCTTCGATTATAAATTATAAAATATATCTAACAAGCTTGTGTAAAGTTTCAAGTCGATCAGACTAACCGTTTGGGAAAAATTTTCTTCACCAACTTAGAAAATAGCGTTTCGACGAAGTGAGTTTAAAGTTACGGAAGTCAATTTAATTTAGTCTAATTTTTTAATAATAATTCAGCCTAAAGTTTTCGGGGGTTAACTTCAAATATATGTACATGCGTTATACATATATGCAAATCAAAAACTCGATTTTTTGAATTTTGCCATCAATTTTGGATATAACCACTTAAAGGTCATAATTTAAAATAATATTGAAGTTTAAATTTAAAATTCTGGTTTGATTTGACTGACGACTGCTGGCATGAAAATGGGATTAATTTTCTGGCTTAGCTCTTAGCTGTAAAAGAAATGAGCCTTGAATATGGTAAATTATTCAGAAAATATATTTACCTATAAATAATATTGCATACTTTTATATGCATACTGTTATTATAACTTTATAATTAAAATTATTTTTCATTCGAATTTACAATAATTTTCTGGCATAACTCCTGTCCACAATAGAAATTATCCTAAATGAAATTTTCCTTTAAAAACTATTGCATGATTTTAGGCTGTACATACTATTATTATTATATTATACCTATAATTTTTGTCTCCAAAATGTTTTTATAAAATTTTTTTGTATGTATGTACTTTCTGGTCTGCAGTTCAAAAGCTTTTTCTGTTTTTAAAGTAGGTGTGTGAACTTTCTACAAAATTTGAAACATTTGAATATTTTACTATTTCTGGTATGTATTCGATATTTTTAAAAAAGTGCTGCTACTCTTGCTTTGAAGCCATATGTGACGTGTTTGTTTATTTAGGTCGCACCCTTATCGCCGCTGCCAGCCGCTATGGCAACATAATGTGTCTAAGATTAAGGTTTAATACATTGCTACTGAAATTTAAGCCATAAAAACAAGCAAAAACAAATTCAACTTCAAATAAACACCAAGAATCGACCATATGCGCTTACAAAGCATATATAAACAGCGCCACCACTCTTAAGAGGCCGCTTGTTTTCTTATTTTCCAAAACTGTTGCTATTGTTGTGGTTACACAAATAACGAATTCCTAATTATTGTTACTTTGCTGTAGTGTTGTTTTTGGGTATCCTTTTCACGCCGCAGTTGGTTGTTTGCTCTTGGCGTCCTCGTACCCAAATCCTTTTCGCAATTTCAACGGCGAACCTTTCGTTGTGTGTCTGTTTCTATCGTTGTTGTTTGTATTTGGTTTTGTGTGCTTTTAGGCGTAAATGCAAATGGGAAATTAAAGTGCGACCAACACGAAATTCGAGTGCGCGCATCAATGCACGCTCCGCCGAAACGTCGCGCTACATAAAAGGTATTCGGCACACCAGATGACTAGCGCAAATTATGCAAATAAGTGTGTCAGGACAAATATGTACATTCAATAAGGCTATGTGTGTATGTCAATTTTGTGGAAGTTCCGAAAAACGGCAACGACTGAAAGTGTCACGTAGCGCACACGCGGAAATTGGAACGCCTACAATTATGTATGCAGGTATGTATGTAAGCGATATTGTGTGTTTTGTATGCTTTGCATGTAGTAGCCTTTTAGGTGTAGAAAATTAATTGAGCTGCACTTTGGGTTTCCAGGAATAGGTGAAGTTGCGGCAGAGATGTGGGAGGAGAGTGGTTTGAAAGGGATATATCTAATGAAAATATGTAATAAATGTACGAGTTTATAGCATTTATTTAAAAGTTTTTCGCATAGTTTTTTGATATACAGTAGATTCAAAAGGCGAGTATAGCACGCTTTTGTTGAACTTTTAGAAATATTTAAAAACATTTAACAAGAAAAGTAAAAAAAATTTTTACTCATATTTATTGTTTTTTATAATTGCATACTTTTAGGGTCGCTGATTATGTTTAAAAAATATTGTTAAAGACAATTCTGCAAATATATTTGTATCGTATATCGTATAAATATATATAATACGATTAATGTGTACTTTTATAGTCAGAAAATGTTTGGCTACCTAATTTCTAATTACTTAAAATAATTTCTGATTACTTATAAAAATAATGTACTTTTAGTCTTGAAGCGTTAAATTACTTTCCAGTTGTTAGCTTAAATTACTTGAAGCACGTCCTTTCGGCCCTATTTATTTTTAACCCTACTTCTAATTACATGGAATAATTTTAATGCAATTGTAAGAATATGCATACTTTTTGGCGTCAAACACTAAATTTTTTGCATTTCACAACTCAAATTACTTTCAGGCTTAACTTCTTAAATACTTTTAGACTAAGAGTCTAATTATTTGCATAGATTAAATATTACTACTAATTACTAGAAACTGTAAATATTTTAACTTCAATTATTCTAGTGTTAGTCAGCTTTAAAAAAACTGGCGTTTACTTGTCTAATGTGGCATTATTATAATTATATAAATAATAATTATTATTTTTATTTACTTGTAGTAATTAATTTTTTATCTCGTATCCGCCATTTTAGAATTTTTTTTTTTTAAATAACATTTTGACATGCTTTACTTATCGACTTTTGGCTTTGATTTTAGTTACTTTTGATTACTGGGTTATAGTATTGAGATATATGAAGAAATTGTATTCGTTTAGGCATAAAATGATCTTTTTATTAACTTTCGATAAGATATTTGTCAAGGTAATTACTTACTTTTAGGCGCTACAAGTCAATGTTGTAGCCTAGTTTGAACTTAAAACGATATGTTACCAGTTATATATACTATGTTTATATAACCTCTATACTTTTCGACAAATACATATATACAATCAGGAAAATTTTATAATACTGCTTTTACTTCAGCAGCATTTTTTTGCTTTGTATTGATAACCCTAAATATATACTTTTAATTTGTAAGCAATAAACTTTCTTTTAATTTTATTTCGCTCCCATACACTTCTCATAGTTCATACACATTACTTTACTTACCAAAAATATCGCCACCCATGCCATGCCAATATTATCGAACGATATTGTTCCTTGAAATGGATTTTGACCAATCCCCAGACAATCCGTATAATATTGATTCCAATTGACGCAAGAGGTGTTTGTCGGTAGATTGTCACCATATTGGGATGCAGCTTCTGAAAATTTAATATGAATTTATTTTTTATAATAAATTAATTTTTAGAATTAATTATTGAAAAAATATCTACCTATATAGAGCCTACAACTTTAATATTTTCATTGTAACTAGAAATTACTAATTTACAGGAACAAATTATAGAAGATGTTTTGTTGCGCTCTAGAAAGCTTTGCCGTTTGAAAGCTTTAAAGATATTTATATCTAAATATTGCTTTCAAAGCTGATTTTTAACTATATCGCCTTACTGTCATGTGCGATCTTCTATCCACAACTGTGGCAGTAGTGTCAGAACGGCGCCGAGTTGACAGTGCTTCCATGAGTACAAATCTCGCTTGGATCCGATTACGTTAAGTTAACATGGGAACCGATAAATAAAGGGTTGATCTGTATTGCTAGGAGCTTTTTCAAGGTTTTTTTCAGTCTTAGCTTGTCGGATGCAGATATGTATACCGATGCAATCCCATCGTAAAATAATACTATCGTCTAAAGTTTATTTTAGATATTAAAAAGCTTACTAAAAAGCTCAAGCAGCTTTGTTGGAAAGTGTAAAGAAAACTAAACTTATGTTTACAATTATACACATTTTTCTTAAAAAAGTCGCGTTATATAAAAAAAAAAATCTCCGATATAGAAATTTAAAAAATTTTACAGAAATTAGTTTCAGCAATGTATCGCTAATTAACTCTAATTGGTGACTACTTGACAATTTTCTAGAACAATTTGCCGCCAACTCGCGCGCTCATGTGCAAAATCACGGTTGATAATTTTGGAAATTCACAAAAGATGTTGGCGAAATACGAGAAAAAAATTACTTTTTGTTGTGGCGCCTAAAATTATGCCACGACAAAGGTTGCGGAAATGCTCAAGTCAAGCGTTAATAATGAAATGCGCGCGAATGCGTGGCGTGTTGCCAAGCTTGCTTACATTCAAATAAATTTTTTTTTCAGCGATTTTCGTTTGCATAACTAAAATTTGTTTTTTGCTACGTTTTTTATTTACTTTTTTAATTTTATAATATATAATATTAATATATATATTTTTTTTTCGGTTTTTTTTTACTCCCCAACATTTAATTCCTGTCGATTTCTCTTCTAATTATTAACCTCTCCCGCCACCATTTCACAATATCCGTTTCCGGCATACTAAAGCGCTTTTGGTTGTTGTAGATTTTTAATTAAAAAATGTGCCTGCAACACCCCCGCAGCCCGCTTGCCGCGCCCTAATTTCATAAGCATAATGAAAAATTTGCGCGCACACAGTAACCAACAATAATAACAGCCTGGCGACGCGCGCGCTTCCCACCGCCAATAATGCTCATTAACCTAAGCAACAATCACAAGAACAATATGCCATGGCAACAACATAAATTGGCAGCATGAAAATCACTCAAGTAGCAATTAAAGTTTGTTGCATTGGCCATTTCCGCTTGCGACCGTTCGTCCACAACAAGCGCTGATTTTAAGGCGCGCGCGGGGCAAACGCGTCTATTTAATGAGCAGTAACAACAATAACAGCAATAGTGTGGGTATGCGCGTTACGGTCAGTTGACTAGCGTTTACAAGCGGCCAAGTTTCTTTCCTACTTTTGTTTTATCGTTGTCGGCGGCGTTTAAGCATTTTAAATTAAGTTGCTGGCAAATTGGTTTACTTCATTCTTTTCCGCGCGCGCGTTTCCAACAGCGATTTTTAATTAATTTTTTTCCTACACTTAATTGTATAATTAAACAGCTATAACAATAAACTGTTGCTTATTGTTGTTATTGTTGCATATATTGCTTACTTACCCGTGCAAATCATGTCGCCGACACGATAGGGTGGCAAGTCCGCACATAAATGCATGCCAGAGTCCTCGGGCTTCGAGCATATGTAGTCCTGCTCCTTGGAGAATTCGTAGTAGTTGGAGACACTAGAGTATTTTTTGTTGTTGTGGTGGTTTGTTTATGGTTTTTTTTTCCATAGTTATTGTTGAAAATTTTTGTTGTTGTAAAGAGTAGCGTTGTTGTAGAGTTTTGCGCAGTATTGAACAAAATATTTGTTTTATGATAATTTTAACGGTGTTTTTTTAATTTAAAGTTGTTGTGTGAAAAATTAGTATGAATTTATTAAAAAACATTTTATGTTTAAACAATTTTGTTATTGTAATTTTGTTAACAAAAATATTTTTCGTTAAAAAAAAAATAAAATGCCAAATTTTTTTCAGTGTGCGGCAGTTCAATTGCATTAATTTTTTTCATACAGTATATGCAGTGTGTGTTATCGAGAGCAGAATGAGAGAAGAGAAAAATACATACAAAAAAGAGACATTTAGTAAATCACAATATATATAAAATTTATTCATATTCAAGACAATTCATAACATTTATTCAGACACGTAGAAATTGAAATGAATGTGTGGAAAATGAAGAGTTGATTACTGAGTATTGAGTGAAAGAGAAACTTAGTAGCTAAGTAAGTATGAAATTAGTACGAAAAATTAAAGCTTAAAGACTTGCGTAGTAAAGACGTGAGCTGAAGTCGTATATAGTATGTGAAATTGAAATTTCTTAAAACATATATAAAAAATTAAAAAATAGAAAATAAAATTAATAAAAAAAAAACTTTAGGTTTTTAAGAAAAATTTTACTATTTTTTTTGTTTTAAAATTTAAAATAAAAATTTATTTTCTGGAAATTTTTTTTTTTATTATAATAGAACTTCAAAAGTAAACTTTAAAAAAATTTGGAAAATAAATTTGTCTATTGTTTTTGTGAGAAATATATTTTGTTTTCACATTTTTTTAAACATATGTATATCAAACTATATAAATATGATAATAATGTGAAATTTGTTATATGTTTTTATATCCGTGAAATACTCATTGAAGTGCGTTTTTTTTTTTTTTGAGCAAGTAATCTTGAATTGAGTTCAGTTCAGTTGAATTGAGTGAGTTAGCGTATGAAGCTTAAAAAAGTCTATGTAATTAATTTGAGTTTGGGTTTGAGCTTTCAAAGTTGAGTGAATTCATTAAAACTAATGCAATGTTAATGTGTTTAAGTTAAAATTCGTTTACAGTAATAAAAATAAATAAAATGAGAGCTGGTAATAACTTTACAAAATAAGGGTATGTATAAGAGATAACTTATAATTTCATTCAAATGTAGCTATTTTTAAAATAGTATTTTCGAGTGAATTGAAAATGAGATGACCAAGTAAAAAAGTACTTGCTCACTTTCAATAAATTAGGTTGAAGAAGAACGTTTACTAAATGCCTTTAATATTTTGTTGTATAAGTGAATACAATAAAAAAATAAATAAAAAATACAACTAATTAGTTCAAAATTAAATGCTAAATTTGAGTGAAAATAATAGAGTTAGTTTCACACGAAAGAGTAAGAAGTAGTCATTTATAAGTGAGTCTAATCGACTGAGAGTTGAGTGCTTATATATTGAATTAAAGAATGATGAGTAAGTATTATCTGTTATGAAAAAAGTTGTAGAAGAAATAAAATTTGAGTGAAAAATAGTACAAAAGAATTAAGTAAATAAAAGTGTGTTATAAAATTGATAATAATGAATTATAAAATAATGAAAGTGAAGTGAAAAGTAGTAGCGTGTACGCCTAAATAAGAAATTATTTTTGAGTGATATGAGTTGAGTTTTCGTAGATTGATGAGTGTCTGAGTTTAAGTTAAGAGTGTGTTAAAAGTAATAGTTAGCAACCAAATCAAGCTAGAGTAATTTTATGCAACTACAGTGTATAAAGTTTAAAGTTAGTTGACTCAGAGGCAAATATTGTTTAGTAAGATATCTCAAGAAAAGTTAAAAATCAATGCATTTTGGTTAGCAGATGTCAAAATTAAAATCAAACGCATTGTTCTAGAGCAGCCTATTTGAAACAACAACGAAAATTTGCATTGAGTTATAGTCCTAGCATTTCAAAAGAACATACGTCAAGAGCTTCCATAAAGACGTACAACACCCAGAGCGCTAAAAACATCGATTAAATAAGGAAATTGTGGCGGAAATTAGATTAGCATGAAGAAAGCGTTGAGAATTTATATAAACTAAAAGGGGAAAGCAATAAAAGTAGCGCGGGAGAGAATAACTAACCAACACTGGAGTTTTAGCACAGAAATTTGTCGAAAGTAAGTGATATTGAGCTTGTGGAACATAAGACTTAGAGCTATTTAAGAAAGTATATGATTCGTAGAGAAAAAATAAATAATAGCAACGAAAAGAATACAGCTACGCGAATCCTTGTACATATTAAAAAATAAGCTTGCAAGAGTAACAAGCTCAATTTACTACTATTCTTGATTTTAATATTCTTGTATTAGTATTGTATAAAGATTAAGCTTTTTTTTACTATCTGAAACTCTTTACAACTACCTATCGCATTATGCTACTTATTTAGTGGCTTGCGAAACATAGCGCCTTCCACCCATAGAAATTAGTTAAACCGACTTTTCGTGCCTTGAACTTGTGAAACAGATTCCTGTACTCAGAAATTGTTTTAATTTTTCATACTTTGAACTTATGGTACACAATCACCTACTCTTGATACAAATATTACCATGGTTTTATGTAATGGTTACTTGTGAAACACAAGTTGCTGCACATGGATAAAAGATGTTTTAAATAAAATTTTATTGCTATGTGATAATGATTGAAATTTTTGTGTAAATATTGTATAATTTCTTGAAAATTTTTTTTAGGTCATTAAAGAATTTAAACCCCTTCGGAGTTTAAAAACATATTTTATTAAATAAAATAGTTAATATTTATTTCGACTTGCACTAGTTATGAAAGGTATTTTATAAATACGAAATTTTTTGTGGGAGTTTTAGATGTATATATTTCTTTTAGTCAGTTCTGTGCTTTTAGCTCAACTATTATAATGTGTTTATTTGTTTAGTTGGTTATAAATATATTATGTGCAATAACACACTACTATATTTTCATATTCAAAGGTAGCTTTAAATACCTTCCCAAGAGAAAATGATGATTTTTCCTGTAAAAAGAACAATCGCATTCATTTGAGTGCTTCTTGGCATTAAGCAAATGAAAAATATTTTCAGCACAACGCTACGGGGTCAACAACATTGAGAACACATTGGGATTTCAAGAGCATACGGGACACACGAGGTTGTCGGAATGTAAAATGGTATAAAAAGTTTATATATCTGTAGGGTTAGGGATTACTAGCTGAGTTTATAAAACTAATGGTGTTAATTCCAACAGTATATATATATGGAATTCGAATTTGAAAATAGGTCTAAATGTGTTATATATTTTAGAGTATATAGCTTCTCTGTGCCAAATATTTTTGTCTTTCCTAAAGAAAATATTTACTTATATTATATACTATTGCACAAATTTTTATAATAGGTTAGGAATATATTTTGCGAATATGTCTTTAAAAATTCATATTAATTTTGAATGACTAAAATAACTTTTATCGAATCTTATAATAAAATTGAAAAATATATCAAGGCAAGTAAGAAAATATCGTACAATATTAGTATGAACTTGTGGAACACCTGCCTTAAATAGAAAATATGGATGATAAAAACATAATTTAGAGATATTTCAAGTATAGACAGCAAAAGCAGTAGAAATGAAGGTATAAAAAGTTATGTGAACTTGTGGAACACCGGCTAATATATATCGAAAATTCCTTCATAGTGAGAAGATAATATAAATGTAGAATGAAATGCGGCAAGGTAAAGATAATATTTTTATTAAAGAGATGAATCATAATTCTTTTGATATGAAAACTAAACAGAATTTTCTTTAATGAACTTGTGGAACACATTTTAATAAATTATTGTAAGGATATTTCTCCTTAATATACATATACTAAAGTAGAGAACAAGAAACGGAATAATTTTTTCCCGAAAGAAATGAAAATAGATTAACCTAATGAATAAGAGCTAGAATAAGAGAAATAAGTGAGGAAAGCAAGAAGAGAAAGTAAGCAACGAATACTTAAGAAATAAAAAAAGCTTAAACTTAGTTTATTGCAGATGTTTCTTGAATAGATTTTTCTGAAATCGTAGTGAAAGGTAGTAAATAGTTTTTAAAGTAGTAGCAACTATTTTTAGATCATATTATTCTTTGAAAATGTATTTTAAGGGAGTAGCAAGTGTTCCTACAAAGTAACTAAGGCTTTCAGAAAATAGTGGTGAATATATTCGCAAGAAAATAATTCAAGTCCAAATACATACACACATTAAGAACTAAAAAAATTGTATGCAAATGTAAAACTCTCTTCAATTTATGCTCAGGGTTTTACATTTACACACTAAATGACACCGAATACAATTTGTGCTGTGAGTTGTAAGTAAGAGTAGTCTAGAATTGGTAGCACCTAGGGCACTCTATAGCATTGTTTAAGTAGTGTTTTTAGTGATGAGTTAAATAGTAGTGTATCTTCTGCGCTACAGTGTGTTAAAAATTGTAATTTTTATTGAATTTATTTAAGAGTCAATGAAACTAGCTAGACTAGTATGTGAAAATGTGTGTACTAAGTGTGGCACGCATAAGATACTAATAGTAGTAGAATACAGTGGTGCTCATATAGTAGCAGCTAAATTGTAGTATGTTAGTTACTGGTGTATTAAGAGTATATTAATAGTATTAGTAGTAGCAAAAAAGGTACTATTTATAGAAAACACGCTGATTCTAAAAGGCATCTGCAATATATTTCATACTATTCGTATTTTAGTATACTAGATATATATATATTTTTTGTAAATTTGTTTTTGCAGTATTTTTTAATATTTATTTACGTTTATGTTTATCAGTTGTTTAACATAAATACAAGTAAAGAAAGAAATGGATTTATCTTACGAGTTAACACGGACTCGAACTCTGTACTCTTTAGGTAGGTCCCTGTAAACAAAAAAACCCGTATGATTTTTGAATTTCTTGTAGTTCAATGTTTTGTAATTGTAGTTGTATTTTGGTAGTTTTTGTTTATTTTTATTTTTTTTTTGGAAGGGAAATATTGAAGGGTTTTAGCTAAGATTTTGTTTTTGTTGTTTGTTTTTCCGAAATTGGGCGATTAAGTATAAATGTTTATATTGAGCTGGGTTTAAAACTACTACAACATAGCGAAGAGAGAGAGAGCGAGGGAAAAAGATGAAAAGAGAGTACGCTAGAGAGTGAGAGCGAACTCAATGGCAGAGGAAGTGTGTAAGAAAATTTAGCAGTACTCATAAGAAAATGTGTGTGAGAGAGCGAGGCAGAGTGGAAGTAGTGGATTGAGATAGAGTTAGATCGTGTAAACGGTAACACTAATGGAATGTAATGAGAGACACAAAAAATATGGTTGGAAAATATATGGGTACATTCGGCAGGCTTTGGTCAGCAGGTGGATCACGTTGGACAGCTAGCTTTATTGAGGGGAATTAGAGTGAGTGAGAGGGGTATAAATAAGCAATTGGCAGCAGCATACAGCGGCAAGGACTTATGGTATTGGAGACAGGATGAATCAGCGGTAGTAGAGAAAGGGTTAAAAAGTATTGTAGTCGGTTAATAAAAGGGCTGAAAAGACAAAATTTTAAAATAGTATTCAAATTGTTATAAAAATACAGAATTGCAACTGAAGTTTGGGTTTTAGTTTATTCTTAAACCTTTTATACATAACTTAAAAAACGATTATTACTTTTATTTGTAATTTATAAATATATACAGAGCTGATTTTAAATGTAAAATCGCAAAAATTCAAAAATAAAATTGTTTTTTTTTTGTTTGCTTTTACGCTAAGAATGTCTTTTTGAATAATAAGTAAAAACAATGTTAACAGATAAAATTACTAGCAAAAAATGGTGGACAACAATTTTTTTGAAACTGCTAAAACACAAAAATTAAATATTTTTTCTTACATTTTAAATTTGCAGTAAAATTAAAGAATTATCTATGACTGTTAATATGTACTCGGGCTCTGCTTACAAATTATATTTTCTTATATTTTTTGCAAATTATAATTTTTTGAAATCAAAAAGGTAAAAGACGCGCCCTATTAAGAAGCTTAAAATCTCTTCAAAATTGGAAAAAAATTATAATTAAAATAAAAAAAATTTAATAACATTTACATAAAATAATATATTTTCAAAAAACAAATGTTTCTATAAATACAAATATGTATTTTTATTTTTATAATATATTGTTTACACAAACATTTTTTTTTAATTTTGATAAAACCTTTAAATTTCTGCAATTTTTAATAATTTTTTTCTGTTAGCCGTGCAATAAGCTCATAAGAAGACGTGAGTTTTGCATTTTACCTAAGTTTTCACTCAATTTGTTAGTTTTTTTTGCTAAGTTGTTGGTAAAATCGTAGCTAATCGCGTGTATTTACAAATTATGCCATATGTGAGCACTTGTATTTACATGTGAGTATGGATATAGTATACAAAGAATTTTTCAGCAAAAAAGGGTAGCGACGGCTACTGTGTGTGTAAATTTTCAAATATATTGAAAATTTTGAGTTTTAATAATTTTTTGAAAATTTGAAAAAATACAACGGCAAAACAACAAAAAACTGCTTTTAAATTAATAAATATATACAATAAATTTAAGTTAATAAATAAAAATATTTATTTATATTTAAAGCTAAGCAATTAATTCCTATTTTACACAGAATAAAATTAGTTGCAAGATTCGTAAACTATAATTTCTTTTTTCAGATTAACTATATGTTTTTAAGAATTGTATATATTTACAACAAATCAGCATAAATACCTACTCACTTAAATTTTCAGCTTGAAATTGTGTTACAAGGTACTTAACATTTTCGAAAAACACGTATTAATATTTTAAATAAAGCAAGAAATTAAGTTTAAAATAAATAAAACAGAACCAAAAAATTATTTTATTTGACAAGATATCGTCATAAATTTGACACCGATTATTGTCTAAGGCAACGGTACAATCCGTAAAAATTCTTTAGATTGAACCACCATAGAATATAACTGTCATACAAACTAATCGAACAAAATAACGATAAACATCTATCTATACCTCTTTATGCTACAAAAAAGATGTGAATTAGTGTATTATAGTTTCGGCAGCCAAAGTTCACATTTCTTTTAGTTCTTGTTTTTTATATATATTTTTCTCTTTTTTTTATTCAAATACTATTTTTCTACGATATGTTAAGATATAATTCACATAGGCCAAAAAAAGAAAAATTAATAAATAATATAAATAAATAAATAATAACAAGTAAAAAATTTTAATAACTGAAAAATTAAAATAGTTAACAAAAAAAAAAAAAAATTAAAACAAAAATTATGTAATACGAAAAAAAAATTTAAAATATAAAAGTAGATGTTTCGAAACCACTATATAAATCAAATTATAAAATTAAAAATATTTAAAGTCATTTAAAAACTAAAAACGTTTATAGCATTAAATGAATGTGTATGCCATATATTTATAATTAATATGTTAACACTATATATTTAAGAGAAATGACTTAATGTTTTATACTTTTAAAACTGTTATTGTACTATATAAAAATTTCAACAAAAACAAATTTTTAAACTAACAAAAAAAGATTAAGACGTTTTCAAAATATTAAATTTGTTTTTTTTTGTTTTTGGGCACAAGTCTGCTGAGTTTAATTAACCCCCCATGTTATTGTGAGTTTTTGTTTAATACTAATACTGAAAGTGTCAAAATTTTATACTTTAATATGAAAATATTCAAGTCACACATGTGGAAAACGCTGAAGGAGATTTTTAACTCATACAAATACTTCAAATAGAGCTCCGTACAGAAAAATGTTGATCACATTAAAAAACGCTTCGCATATTATTGTCTAAACTTTTCACTTTATGTTTTATGAAAATTTTCTAAGAAAGATTTATAAATTTTAGATACAGATCTAACAAGCTTAAAGTAGAAAATTATGTAGAAAGCCAAAACGTACCAATTCAAAATCATTAAAGTTAAATAAGCTTTTCGAGCTTAATAATTTTTTAAGATTATGTGATGGCTAGTGTAATATTGTGGGAATACTAAAAAAATACATCTTGAAAATAAGTATAATGGATAAAATACCGAACTAGAAAGGAAACAACTTATAATTTTTTTACATATTTGACAATATTTTGCTGAGGACGAACTGCTGAAAGTTTTTTAGTTCCGATTTAATTAAATTTTCAACACTCTATTGCGAATGCGGGGTATGCGACTTGGATTTAGTCGTAGCACAAACCAAATTTAAGTTGATACACAACCTAAAATTCAACCATGACAAACACCTTTTGTAATGAATATCACTTATTTGTTAAGTGAACGAAATTTTCGTAAAATGCTTTTAAGGTATTATTCATATCTATATCAGATATCTACATGATATTTTTTAACACAAGAATATGATTTTTTAATAATATCTTTAGTTATTGCTGGTAGTGAAAAGTTGTTGAGAAAACAATGAAAAAATTAAAGCTTTTTATTCTAACTAAGCCTTTAATTAGCCATAAATTGATTAATTTGAAAAACCCTGAGGAAAAAATTATACTTGAAAAGTCTTTTATTTTAACTAAGCATTTAATGAGCTTTAAATTGAAAAAATGTTCTTTCGCCATTTTTCCAGTTTTGCATTCATCCTTTTGCATTTTCATATTTCAATTTTTTTTACCTTGTCGCTTTCTAAAATCTTAATTTATTTACTCAATATAGCAGTATGTAAAAGCTCAGCGCTAGTGCCATGCCGACGACTACCGTTTTCAGAACTGCCAAAAATATATACTGAGCAGACACCTGCATATCACTTTGTTTACCAAAGCCAGCGCTTAAGTAAACATAGTCTTATATACCTATATGTGTCTGTACATATATACATACATATAAAAGTATAATATATATATAGAACATGCTAAAAACTCATATGGCATGTGTGACGACAAGACGCCGATACAGCGCTACTTGGGCGCCTGAAATCTACAAATGCACAGACAGTCAATGTTTATTATACGATATATTAGTGAGTTGGCATAATTTACTACCATATATACCTACATATATCTTTGTATGTAGGTGCGTGTGTCGCGTGGCAGAAAACGCGCAAGCAGCTATTCCGTAAGTGTGCTAGCAAAGAGACTAGACTAGGTTGACTGCTGGGGAAAACAAAGTATTCCGCTAACAATTAATTTGCATTTTAAAGACACCCACCGATAGCTGGCACATGACAGGATGGATGCAAATATGGCTTTCAGTAACGATTAACATCGTGGCGCGTTTGTCATTTTTATTATGACTACTTTCTCGCATAAAAATGAAAAATCGAAAATTTATTGTCGTAAAAATGTGCATATATGCAATTTCATCGATTGGGAATACGTCTGCTAAGTGACTGAGACGTGATTGCTGTAGCACAGAGTGCGGCACAGCACTTGAGACACATGGCGCCTGGGAGTCAGCATTCGACTGCGGATATATTGAGCGCTTAGTTTATACCACGTCGGCAGTCAGCAGTCTGCTCACACCAATTGCGGCAGCTTAGAGTGAATGACAGTCCGATTGCTGACATTTTATTTGAGAGCCGAGTTATAGAAATTTGCATAAAACATAACAGTCAATAATGCTTTGAAGAACTTTGAAGTTCGTTACATCTATATATTTGAGAATTTTTGAAAATGTATCAATATTGGCTTTACGAAAGTGTTTATCTCGAATTATGTTACTTTAAGTAAAAAAAAATTCCTGAATTGTCAGAAATCACCTCGTTTAAAATTATTTCCTTTCCACTCCTCCAACACCTAAGAAAGTGGTCTATCAATTGTATAAATTGAAATGCGTTTGGTTGTCACAGATTGTCCTGAGTTGAAAAAAAGTTTTTATAATCTGTACAATGATGTTTTTTATGATGCTGGGTCCTTAAGACCTTCACGATTCGTGCCCATGTGTCTCATATTTTATATAATACTACTGAAAGTTTTGTGGATAGATTACAAGCGAAAAAAATTGCTAATAATTGTGAACTTTGTGTTAAATGCTGCTAAAAGCTCATTAAAGCTTTTGCAACTATTTTCTATCTTACTTAAATTTATACAAGCAGAATTAGGATCTTCAGTTTAGGTGAAAGGGTATGAAGAAGCTTGCTGAAAGTTTCTATAAATACAAAACTTAAGTAAGACCTTTGGTAAGACAATGTGTATAAAATAATCAAAAAGGCTTCACTTTTCTTAAGAAACATTTAAAACTACCAGTTAAAAATTAATAAAAGCTCGCTATAAACTTCGACACAGCCTCGATTGGAACTTTAGTAAAACCAAACTAGTTATTAAAAGGTTTTATTAGCATAATCAGTACTGGAAACTGCTTAGAATTATATTATTTAAGAAAGCTTGCTACAAAAGCTTCAACATTGCTGCGTTCATTACTTTTGAAAAACAAAAGTTTGAAAGACTTGGTTTGAACTATATTGTTAAAAATTAAGTTCTTGTAAAGTTTAGTTCTTCTCAATTATACAACACAAATAAAAATATAGTATTAATAACAAAGCTGAGACACAAAGCTTTAAGCTCTAGCTCTGTGTACTTATATTATTGCTTTAGTATGTAAATATATTAATATTAATTACTTAGTTAGAATCTGCAGAAGCTCAAAAGTAATCAAAAAGCTTACAAATAGGCTTTTACAAAGCTGTGATTGAAGCGTTAATATTACAGTATTTTTCTAAATAAAAAAACAAAAATGCGTATACGTAATTACATGCTTTATTGCATAAATTAAATAAAAAGCTCTAAAGAAGCTCATCGTATTTTCACAGTTTCTGCTCTACATGGTATATACAAATGTTAATGTATGTATATATACATATGAATCTTTACAATTACCACCTTTAAACGGTTTACACAAAATCTGCAGCTTGCTGAGCGTCGAGCGGTATTTGTAGGAAAGCTTTATGAAAGCTTTTTTATAACAATGCAAGTATTCATATTACAAATGTTGTAAGACAAATTTTTCTGATGAAAAATTAAAAATTGTATAAAAATAATATTCGTTATGACTATTGAAAAGAAATTAACTAAGAAATTATCTTTTTTATTACAAATTTAAAGATATGAAAATATTGTTTTTTGAAAGTAAAATAAATTTCAATAATATCAATATAATGTACTTAAAAATATATAGGATATTTAATGCGTAAAATTTAAAAAATATCTTTTATAAAAAATAACAAAAATGAAAATTTGCTAAAGTGAAAATTTCTAAAATCGCGTATATACAAAAAAGCTCTAAAAAAAGTTCGAAAAAAATTAAAAAAAAATACCAAACTATTTTTATTGGTCTTAACATTAGTTTGCTTAGAACTTTAATTTTTTTATTCGAAGTAGTCGCTATAGACCCTAAAAATGCTCTCCATTTATTAGCTATACATTCAGAAGCTTTTTACAAAAAAAAAATAAAAAAATAAAAAATAAAAAATTAAAGTAACGCTATGCAAAAAAAGCTGAACAAATACTATAGCATCTTCTTTAGTACAGAGAAAGTGAAACGAAAACTCATTAAAACCAAAGAGAAAGTCAAACGTTGCAGAATAAGTAGTAGCAATGCGGAAAGAGAAAAGTTATTATTGTTTAAAATATTTCATTTAGTAAAAATGGAAATTTTTCAAAATATTTTTTCATAAATGAACTTTAAGAAGTGTGTACTTACGGAAATGTGACGACCGGCATTTCGGAGACCCAACAACGCTGACGCAATATGCCCTGCCACAGTTGCACGCCAATAATGCCGAATATGAAGAAGACGAAGAAACAGAGCAGCAGCACATTGCCGAGCATAGGCAGCGTGTCCAGCAGCAACATGACCAAAATGCGCATACCTTGCGTCAAAGTAGAGAAAATGTTGTTAAAATATTCAAATGAAATGTCACTCTAAATAATATTAATATTAATTTACTTTATTGAAAAAAAAGCTACGTATACGCCCTGCCATTTATTTAGTCATTCTCTCTGTACTTACTTGGTATGCGATTGATTGCCCGCAATGGACGCAACACTCTTATCGTTCGTATCGCCGTCAAGTTCAAATTTTCCACATTCGTTACGTATTCCAAGAGACCAGCAATAACTATAAAGAAATCCAGTCGATTCCAAGAATCAGCCATATAGGTATTTTTGCCATGCAAGCCCATCGCTATAGTTTTGATCAGCATTTCGATGGCGAAGAAAACGAAAATGATGTCGTCGAAGATCTGGAAATAGAAGATAATAATTTGGCGGTTATATTAATCCCTAATAACTGTTTTATAACATTTGCAAAAAAAAACATTAATTAAATAATTTCACAAAAATATTTGGTTTTTTCTTTTATTTTTGACTAAAATAATGTTTTTAGCTGATATATTTTTTTTTCAAAATGTTCGTTAATGCTGAAAAAATAATAAATTATCAGAAGGAAACTAATACAAATGTTTTAAATTTATAAAGTAAAAAAATAATATTATAATATATTATTAAATATGTTATTTATATTTTTTTTAATATGTATTTATTTTTAAAAATTCCAAAAAAAATTTTTTTTGAAACTAATTTTGGTTTATTTTTTACTGAAACAAAAATCTTTCTTAGCCAATTACTTTATCTTTTCCACTTAACTAATATAAAAAATAATATTTTTTAATTATTAAGTAATAAAACTTAATTTTTTTAATAAATTATTTATTGCTGGCAAATATTATAAGTATAATTTTTACTATAAAAAAATTGAATAAAAACAAAAAAAAAACATGAAATATTTTTATTATACCAATAAAATAATTTTCTTGTATTTTTCACATTTAAATTTATTTATTGGTAAATAAATTTTAATTTGCGTAAAAAAATTTTAATAATAATTAAAATAATGTAAAAATTAATATTTTTTAGAAATAAATTATTATTTGGCTGTAAAACAATTTGTTAAGAGAGTTGGAAGAAAAAATTTGTGTAAACAAAAATTATATTTCTTAATTTTATATAAAAAATTGTTAACAAAAACTTAATGTATGTTTTCTTTTTCAGCGTTCGAAACAATAAAAACTTCGAGAATAATTAATTTTTCTTCTGGAATAATTAATTAAAAAAATTACATTTACATACATTTAAATAAAACAAAAAAAATTTTCAAAAAAAAAAAATTTTTTAATTTATTTTATAAAATTAAAAGTTTATTAACTTTTTTGACTACAAAAAATTATGAATTAAAAAAATTTAAGTAAAAGTAATAAGAAATAAATCAATTTTTGAATAAAAGAAATATTTGGTAGTTTTTTTTTAATATTAAAAGTATTTCATAAAATTTTTTTTAAATAAAAATAATTTTTTAGGTTTTTTTTAATATATCAAGGCTCTAATACTTTTATTTACGTATCAATTTTAATTGATTTAAGAAATAAGTAAATTAGTTTTAAAATCAAATTTTTTCAACCATAAAATCAACAGTTTCAATATTTTTATGTGAAAATTTGCCCGAGTTGAGTGTCCATTATGTGCATTTCACTAAAAATGCAGCTTAATATATAAAAATATTTGCAAAATTTTATCATGCACTTTTCCATTTCACTAACAAAATCATACTTCAAAGTCGCTCAAAGAAGACGCCACAATGTCAATTGCTTTTCATATATTATACATTCTTTGCCAATTCAATTGTGCATTTTCTACAATAAACACAAGAGGTGAATCCAACATTTTGTAAATAATTCAAAAACTCAATTGTGCCACAAGGCACCAATATGCACACATACATGTAATGCGCACATTGAAATGAAATGCGTCTTATAATAATACAAAAGTATATGCACTTAAGTGCATTGTACTCTCTCATTGTTGTTGCTGTGTTGTTTTAAAACTGCACTTTTGGTTGTTTAGCTCAACCGCAAACGCCACCATTCACATGCCTTACCACTTATAGACAAAATGTATTTCATATACCATTAACTTTCTAATATACAAATACTTGAAATGTTTTCATACATAAGTGCATGTGCATGTGTGTATGTGTGTGTATTTGGATAAATGCATTTGTACGTGACCGACTGCGAGTGAAAAAGCGAAAATGCCGAGTTATGCGAGCGAATAAGATAGATTGTAAAAGTTGTGCGTTTTTAGTGACAGCCACAGCATGCCTGTAAGAAATTAATGGCAAACGCAGGATTTTGACTTGAATTTTTAAAATCGTCTCAACCAGTAGTCAATTGATAGATATCTCTTATATTTAAGGTTGGAGTCCATAAGAAATCAATCTCAATCTTCACTTCGAATTTCCCGCGTTGCTGACAGCTTTTTGTATACTTTAAGTACAAGAAGAACTTATTATTGAGGACTGAGAAATATCTGACAGCGACGCTTGTTATAAAGGTGTGGACAACGCTGCCTGTATCATATTAAGTATAGTGGAGGCCTTTTGAATAAGATAATGAAGCCGATGGTATGTTTTTTTGTATACTGCAATCGGTACGCACGAAGTCTGTAGATCTAAACTCTCTTTTCAGCAGAGAAAATATTTCTGCCAGTCAGTTAGATTAAACTTTGTAGTAAAAGAGCCTCATAAATATGGCACCTCTCTTGCGAATTTTATAATTTATTATATTGAAACAAAAATGTCGTGTATTGTTAATATTCTTGGGGATCTCACGTCGAATACTATCAGACAAGCATTAGAAACTCTTTTTTTGTTTTGGAGGCATTAACTAAGATCACAATCTAACCTATAGCTTGTGCCTATTTGAAGACTGAAGCTCATCTGATAATCCAGTTTTTTAACGCAGCCTTAGTCTAACTTGTTCAAATCGAATATTCTTGAGATTTTCAAACGTTAATTTGGTTTTGCTTCAAAATATTTCCTAAGGGAGAAACTTATTAAAAAACATTACGAACTCCGAAAGATAGAACATATTACAATTGAACTATGAAGATTTTTTATCAGATGATTTCAAGCAAGGTTTTAGAAAACTTTTTTGATTCCTGGAACTTTATAAAAATATTTTGAAAATCAAGTTTAAGGATTTATAGCATTTTTCCAAGGCAGTCGAGACTTTCTTAATGTAACGGCTCTGAATTTATAACCGCTCAAGAACTGTCAACTCAGCCGCTTTTTCCAAAATAATTTTGGAAATGTTAAATAACATTACAACAACAACATTTCTTATGTATTTGGCCAAACTTTTTGAAAATTTCATTACATAATATAAAAATTTTTTTTGACAAGTCCTCAATTGTACAAACAAAGTCCTCCTTAATTACGTCTATAGAGTTATATAAGGCGATAAAAGTTAGTTTTTGAAGTTTTTTTAAGGAATTGCTTTTAAAAATAATTTCCATATAGGAATCTTAAAAAATTGGAATGTTTTTAGCCATGTGGTCTTCAAATTCTTGGGAAAGACGTCTTAAAGGAAATACTGTAAGAACGCCGGAGACGTCGGTATGATGACGCCGAGATGGTCCGCTGATCTTTTCTTTTCCAATTCCACGCATTTTCTACTTACAACGCGTCATTTAGGTCTCACTAACCCTTATTACTATGGGATCCTCGTAAAAGACGTCAATAAAGTCTTATAAAGACGTGATACGATTGAAGCCTCAAGTTAAGTCTTCCATCGACTGGATAAAAAATGTCTCGTTGCAATTCCTCACATCGCCTGGATTTCTCATACCTATAAATTTACTTTTTTTCCGTTTTCTCACATCGCCTGGCTTTGCCATACCTATAAAGTTTTTTCTCACGATCTCTTCACGCTTGGTCGCTACTTTCCGTTGCGGCTGCTGACACAGTCATTGAAATTGCAATTGAATTGTCCTTGTCATTGCCATTGTTTGGCGTACGTCGTTTTTCCTTTGAGTTGTTGTTGTGCTCTCAAATATGGTTTGAGTTGTACTTCGCCCGCGGCCCTTGATTTAGCTGCTTGCTTCCACACACGACTGAGCTTTTGCCTTGTCTTCGACACAGTTGCCAGTTCGTTTTTTGCATTACTGTTCCCTCTTAGTTGTTTCTTTATAAATAGCAACTGTTGTGTGTGTGTATGTTTGCTTGTATTTTAAGTGCTTTTGCTAATAGTCATTTGTGGTTTTTCAAGTGCTGCTTTCTCTAGTTGACTTCGTGCTGCCGCTGTGTGAGAGGGCCTCAAGGATTTGGTTGTTGTTGTTGTCTCTGTCTGTTCCTCCTTGCCTTTCTGCTGCTACTTCCTTGTCAGTGTTTCCTGTTTCTTACGCCTCTGTGTTGTTGTTTTATATTTTTAAGTGTTTTTCGTTTGCTCTCGTCTTTTGATTGCAATTGTTGTCAATGCATTTGAATATGCGCTACTGTTTGTTCTGTTATTATTTTTTCTTGTCAACAATTTTGACGGTTTTATTGTTTAGTGAACGATTTGGAGAGGCGCTTCTCACTTAAAGGTATGCAAAAATATGCAAAGATAAACGTACAGAAAACAATAATGTAAGGAATAGTATTTGGATATACAATTCGGAGCGTTGTTTTGCAATTTTTTTTTGCCTTTTGTGCAAATTCTGTTGCCTGACTGACAGGAAATTCCGTTTTTGGTTTGAGTTTTCCCGAAAATCCGTATAATTTTTTTTACTACTGGAAATGATTTACCCTTAGTTAAACTTTACATAAATTTTGTTACATATCTTTAGTGCATAAGAAACCCAATACTAACAAAAATTTATAAATTGTAAAAAATACAATTGGTAACATTTATTGCCTACATTTGGGAGCAAAGTTTAAAGTGAAAATTGTTAAAAGTATATAGGAGATATAAGTGCCGTGTTTGGCAGCTTGCCAATAGTCTAAACAATGCGAAATGTATCAGCTAGTCTTTTTTAAACTTTCATACTAGTGTAAATGATCCATTATTGCATACTTTTAGGAGCGCTGCTTAAAGAAAGCCCACTAAAAGCGTTTAGAATCCAGAAGTGACATGTTTGACTTCTTAGCGACACTTAAACAAGGAGAAATTTGTCAGATAACTTTGGAGCTTTTATTTTAGTGTACTCAATAAATTTGTTGGCCACATTTCGTATCGCAGCTTATCACATAAACTCATTTTAGCCATAAAGAAATCAAAGGGAGGCAGAAATGAGCAGAAATTTGTGAATTGTATTCTAGGAATTGTCAGACCAGTTTATTTAATAGATCTATTGCCTACTTTTGGGAGCAAAGCTAATAAGGACGACAATTACATGAACTTATAACACATAAGTGGCATTTGTGGCT